GATTTTGAGGATTATTACTATGCAGATCAGATTAAACATTTCATTTATGTCCCATGTTAGACATAACAACGAGCAGCTCCTTCACTTCTAACTTGACTAACCATTGTGAACAGATTGATTGAAGTTTAGAGCAAATAGGTAGCGCATACACAGAATGTTTAGTTCACCTTTTAACATGTTTGCTCAAAGAAAGACCAGCTTAAAGATTTTTAGCCAGACTCAACAATTTTCATGGAGCTTATCCCAGCTGCCGCAGGGCGGGAGGCGGGATACACCCTGGACAGGTCACCAGCCTATAATTTTTAACAATAACCTTTGATTTCGAACAGAGGTCGCAGGAATACGTGACATTTCTGTCAGTTTTTCACTCGTTAATCTTTTTATTCATCAGGGTACCGTCATCATCATAGCTAATCACGGTGACCGGATAGATATTCCTGCTGGAGCCATGCTGGAGAACAAGATTGTTTCAGGAAATCTGCGGATCCTTGACCACTGAGGCCTTCTGGGAAAATGCTCGACGCCATTTGGATCTTAAAGATGACTTTTAAGAGATTCTGTTCTTCTGATGAACAGCAGGGTTGTTACAGCTTTTGTTTTAAACAGTTGTGTCAGTGTAAAGTCAGCCTGAAAAGGTCAGAGGTCAAATTCATCGTGCCTCCAAATTTCTCCAGCACTGTGAAGAAGAAATTTGCTGTTACTGCAAGACAATCACTGTGAAGTCTGGCTCACTGTGGTCATCTTTTTCTTGTGTCAATAAAAAGTGCAGTATGGGTCAGCAGAGCTTCCTGTGTTTTGTAGAAACGTCGGACTCTTTATTTATTTTATGTTTTTTTTATATACAAGGTGAGATCAGAAAGTTCTGTGAACAGGCCCAGAAAAATGAAAATGATGGCTGATCTCACAGCACCTCTGTGCTACTTCTAATCACTGCTGTATCCCTTTACTCCTGCATCAATGTGCTGGGTTTGCTCAAAAACATACAAAGTCATTTGGATCTTGTAGGTAGATCGGAGCATTAAGAGCTGTAACCCCATTCGCATATAAAGTGATTGAACCTGTCAATTCCTTATTGCACCCAACGATAAAAGATCAGTGAAAAATGATGCTCCTGGTCTTGCTCGTCACCTGACACTCGGCCTTTGGAGACTTAAAACCTGTTTGATCTCAGTTGCAGACTCAGATTGGATCACTACTGATGATCCTCCACACAAAACTCACAAATGATCATTTCATCACAGAGCACACAGGGTTAAATGGTCAGAAGAGAGATTCATATATACTAGAATTCAGGTTTTTATACCCAAATCAAAAAGTAACTAGAATAAATAATAAAGTGCTTTTTTTGGTCTACATCTTTGTCCTGCACATAACAAGTGATTTTGGTCATTATTTATACTGTTAAGTTGGGGCAACTGTGTTCTGTTTGCCTTGTAATTGGAAGGTTGCCGGTTCAAGCCCCGGCTCTGACAGTCTCAGTCGTTGGGTCCTTGGGCAAGACACTTCACCCGTTGCCTACTGGTGGTGGTCAGAGGGCCCGGTGGCGCCAGTGTCC